TCTGGTGTCTGGTATTGGTGTCTGGTATCTGGTGTCTGGTGTCTGGTATCTGGTATTGTATCTGTTATCTCTTTATCTGGTATCTGGTCTGGTCTGGTATCTGGTATCTGGTATCTCTGGTCTGGTGTCTGGTATCTGGTGTCTGGTGTCTGGTGTCTGGTGTCTGGTATCTGGTATCTGGTATTCGTATCTGGTTCTGGTGTCTGGTGTCTGGTATTTGATGTCTGGTATCTGGTATCTGGTGTCTGGTATCTGGTATCTGGTGTCTGGTATCTGGTATCTGGTATCTGGTGTCTAGTATCTGGTTTCTGGTATCTGCTATCTGGTATCTGTCATCTTTTATAAGTTTCAGTTTTCATTTTTCATTTTCTATTTTAATTTTTAATTTTTCATTTTTAATTTTTCTATTTTAATTTTTAATTTTTAATTTTAATTTTTCGATTTTTCGTTTTTTCGATTTTTTTTCGATTTTTCGATTTTTCTATTTTTATTTTTCGATTTTTCGATTTTCGATTTTTCGATTTTTCGATTTTTCGATTTTTCGATTTTTCGATTTTTCGATTTTTCGATTTTTCGATTTTTCGATTTTTCGATTTTTCGATTTTTCGATTTTTCGATTTTTCGATTTTTCGATTTTTTCGATTTTTCGATTTTTCGATTTTTCGATTTTTCGATTTCGATTTTTCGATTTTTCGATTTTTCGATTTTTCGATTTTTCGATTTTTCGATTTTTCGATTTTCGATTTTTCGATTTTTCGATTTTTCGATTTTCGATTTTTCGATTTTTCGATTGATTTTTGATTTTTGATTTTGATTTTGATTTTTGATTTTTGATTTTTGATTTTTGATTTTAATTTCAATTTTTCATTTTTCATTTTTCATTTTTCATTTTCATTCTTCAGATTTCAGTTTTCATTTTTTAGTTTTCAGTTATCAGTTATTTGTTATCTGTTACCTGTTTTCTTTTATCTGTTACTTTTTATCTGTTATCTGTCATCTTTTATCTTTTATCTGTTATAAGTTATCTGTTATATGTTACCACCTGTTACCTGTTACCACCTTTTACCTGTTATCTGTTTGTCTGTTATCTTCCATATAGCATTGAAAATATCCTGTATACAATTGTATAACAGACTCAGATTTATGTGAGATGCCGGCAACGTCGCATGTGTTGTTGTTAATACCATACATGGCGTTATAAAATCTTCCATGTAGCAAATTGTATAGCAGACTTAGATTTATATGAGGATCGTCGCATAAATCTAGCTATAACACGACTTGCAAAAAAATGGCGCTTGACACTGACATATGTCAACCGTGTTCGTCTACGGATAGCAGTGGACTATGCTTTCTTCAGTGTATATGTTTTCTGTTTTGTAATGTCAATGTCATTGTCATAGGTAATTTTTTCTAACCTGGAAAATGAAATGTATTTGTTTAAAATTAAAATTCAATAACTCCTATGTGAGATGTGTGCATCTACAACATAATGAAAGGAAAAAATTAAGATCTGAAAGTTAATTCCTAAATATCATAGTAAGGAAATCCGTAAAACTAAAAAAAAAGTAAACATAAACACCTTGAGAAACTTCTTCCGTATCAAGTGGTTAAAGTGGAGTTTTAAAACAATTTTTGTTGAAATAAGGCCGTTAGTTTACAAGCAGGTATGTAACTGAGCGATCCGCTAATGTGTGTGTATCTTGCTTATAAAAAATGCTGTATTTAGATATTGCTATTCACATGAACTACCGTTCTTTGATAGGATATTTTCAGATTGAACTTTTGTCTTATTTTTACTATTTATTGCAGGAGAACAGTTGAACCAGGTCCTGGTGCATACTTATGTAGTTGTCACTTTGTGGATGGGAAAAAAGAAAATAGACCTACATTGTTTAGGTATAATAGGAGAAGCAATTGAACTTTCCATCGCCAGAAAGAAGAACCCGTAAAAATAACAACAATGTGAAAATTGAACTCTATAATATGTTACTTCAAATTGGGCCCTTTTAAGGATGTATGTAATAATTATGTGATCTGCAGAAATAAAAATAGTTCCCAGTAAGGAGCATAAATCATTTTAATGTAGAGTCAGTACTCGTATAGGTAACTTTCACTCCCCTGGCAGGCTTAATCTAAGCGATATCACAAATATGTCTCTACCCAAGTTACGATTATACTGTTGCAAGAGTACTTATCTTACAAATTTTGACAAGTAATGGTGTCTGTTGTTTTGACAAGTCTTGGAAGTCACAAGTCCTTAAAGCAGCTACATTCTAAATCGATTTAGATCAAATAAACAACTGCAGTGGCTGTGAAAGTCTTAGTAATTTTGAAAACTTTGGTAGTAGATATGATTATCAATGCTATTTTTCAGCGCTTTGCATATTCCTTCATCTGCTTGATAATATTGCCAATCGAAGGATAGATGACAAG